GAGTTTCTGCTGATCTAACAATAGAACTTTCAGCATCTTTACTGTTATTTATCTTATTTAGAGAAAACAGCTTCAGCCGCTTACAAACTCCTTTAATTTTATAGAAATCATTTGTTCTCCGGATCATTTTCTTTCTTTTCAGTGGAATGTTTTCAAATGATTTCAGAGGAGTTTTCTGTCTGTGATCAGGTGACGCAGTGTTTTGGCAGAGGCTCTCCTGTCCCTACGAAGCAAAGCAGCAGGACCTGCTCAGGGTCCTCTGCAGGCGGACTTCTGCAGACTGCTGCTCGGGCCTCGCCTTCAGGCCCACCTCCCTGTCAGCTGATGGAGGCAACCTGAGGGTGACCCAGGACACACTGTCCTTCTCTGTGGAGCTGCTGCAGCCGACCACTAGAGAAGGAGTTTACTGGTGTGGCCTGTTGGGAAGAAATGACACCATCATCAAGCTGGCTGAAGGCTATTTTCACCACAGTGAGTAAAACTGAAGCTTAGCAGTGGATGGAAGACAGTTTTTTAACAGGTAGTAGACCTGAATCTAAGCACACGAGGAGAAACAAACTACATCTGATGATGTAGAGAAATTAACAAACAGTCAAAGGAAACTAAAAAAATGCCTTTAGTCTTAGTTTAAACCCACCAGAGAATCAACACTTTTACAGCATTTTCGGAGTATTTTTTCTTATAAGTTGTGAGAAATAAATGCTGCTTGTTTGATATTTGATTTAAACCGTAATAGAAAACTAGAGATGACATAAAAACTAGCAGTAGGTTTGGAAACGTCCAGATCGAAAGCAGCAAGCTATTAAAATAGGTTAATGAAAGCGTTTTAGGAGAGGCGTTGGGACGGCCTGGAACAGCTCCGTAGTGTCAGAGGTCATTACATTTAATGAATCAACCACTGGCTGGTTAAGCCTAACCTAACCCCAACACGCCTCCCCTAAAACACGGGAGAGTCACAGTGCATCTCGTCTGCCATGCAGCATTTGACCACACACTGCCTCCTGCAGTAATCTGCCATCTTGTGGTGTGTAGGTGTAGTTACAACTTAAAGTCCTGCTCAAAGTAACTTCTTGTACATTTTCTCTTTTAAAAAACAACAAATAAAAACACAACAAATAAATTAATGTGATCTTAGCTTAGTATGCCGCACATTCCCTGGCAGAAGATAATAGCTCCTATCATAACAAAATACTAAATTATACTTGTAAGACTTTACCAAAACCCAAAAATCCAACATGAAAATAAAGAAAGCTGAGGTGCATCTAAACAGACGCGAAGCCTGCTTCCTACATATGAGATGTTTGAGCAGCAGAGTCAGATGTTCATCCGTCTCCTGTAGGTTCTCTATATCCAGGTTGACAGAAAGCTTGAGGGGAGATAGTTTATTGAAGGCTTCTTCCATATGAAACAGGAAGTCCTCCGCTGCCCCACGAGGTCCTCTATTGGTCTTCTGCTGCCCCACTGGTCCTCCGCTGACCCACCAGGTCTTCCACTGACCCACGAGGTCTTCCTCTGACCCACCAGGTCTTCCGCTGACCCACGAGGTCTTCCGCTGACCCACGAGGTCCTCTAAAGCCTACAGTCCATCACAGCAGGACATTTTCCTTTCAGAGGAGAAAGGAGGCCCATTATGTTCACCATGATCTGGAAGGGTGTGAGCACCATTCCTCTCTCTGGCTTTGACTTTCGCTGCCAGGATAAGCTGAATCTGGCGGTGAGTCTGAATGATTTCGCTGCACAGAGCTACCGGCTCCTTCCCAAACGGTTTGCTTCTCTTGAGGGTTTGGCAGCAGCGTCATCAGGAGTCCAGGCAGCCTCTATCATAGGAGGTAGAGTGGGTGGATCAGTGACTGTTTGCTTTTAATGTTGTAGAAGCCAATATGTACAAAGTCTGCATAAAAGAGGAAATGATGTGTGAGTGGGTTTCACCAGAAAAGGTTTTGACCGCTTGGCTGGGAAACGCTGTCAACCCACAGCTGGTTGTTTGTATCAGTTTTTGTTTGATAAACAAGCAAAGTTGGAATAAATTGGGTTTTAACAGCAATAACAGCGTCTGGGCATTTCCTGTTTACCATCTCATCCCGGCAAATACGCCTCAACCGTAAGATTCCCGTACTCCATGAACCACGGATTATTTGAACGAGGCACATAAACCTGACATGGATTGAGGTGTTTAACAATATTTAATATTATGACGTTTAGCAGATCATCCATATTTAGACGGGGCCAAGTTTGCTGATCAAATGGGAACAAAACCTTGGTTAAGTCAGAGCTTGTTAGAGAGTAATTATAAAACGAACGGTTAAAAAGGCCCCTCAGTCATGGAGAAGCTGCAGAACATTTGAACTGAACTAATAGTGTAAATGGCAGCATGACGTCACTAAAGCGACATCTAAAGACACACGACAGAACCTTTATAGGCTGGCGATGGCGTAACTATCAGTAAGCAGAGACTGCAGGGCCCCCGACCTATTAGGGGCCCCATCACTGACACGATAGTGAGCCGTTTAAACACCAACAGCAAAGCCGACAGCGGGACTTCTAATTACTCTGTTAATAACTGTGTTTAGTTCATTAGACGGTTCATGTTTCAAACTGCAATCTTAAAAGAACGAGTATTTGAGTATTTTATTTTTTACACTACGACTTGGAATTATGGGAAATCCAGAGCCTAGATTGGGGTGTCATATGGGGCCCACCCAGATAATGTTATGTTGTTACGCCATTGCAGTCAGACGCTGGTGAGGCGGCGGCTGAAGGACCAAGTTAACGGTTTCAGCGCTCTGTGGGGGCGGAGCTGCAAAGGTTTGATCGCTTCCGCCTGAGAAACACCGACTCCACCAGGAGCGAAGCTTCGACTTCCAACCTTCTACGGTTGTGACCAAAGTCTGAGCTCCAAGCTAACGTCTTGAGATGCTGCTTCACCGTTTCCTCATCATGCCGGTTATTTAGCACCGCCCCCCCAGCCCTGCAGCAGGAACATCCTCCAGATGTGATGGGGGTCATGGCCAAAGATCTTCCCCTTAGATCCATCAGACCATCACCAGAGCGTCTGCAAGCTTCACTCTGGCCTTCATGACATCATATCTAGAAACTGATAGATTTATTCTCTTCTCCTGATTCCACATCTGTAACGTTTGAGAAAATATTAAAGAAGCTTCTGAAAGTTAAGGCGTCTGTGTTTTTACATTCTCTGCAGCGTCAGCCGCGTTCATCTGGAGCATCAGTCGCTGGATTGTGCTTCCTCTCCTGCCCATCGCCACCATGTCCACCCTGCTCTGCTCCAGACGTGAGTCCTTCCTGTTTTCCCAGATGTTTTCCAGCTGCAGCTGACTGCCGTCAATGAAATGACTGGAATTATTGTCTGAACTTTCATCATTTGCTTTAAGACGCCCTCTCACCTGAACACCGACTGTTAATTAAACCACAATTATTCTGACTTTCCAGATAGAAGAGGAGCCTGATGGCGAACCAGCAGGGGGCGCTCTAACTCAGCCGGCGTTCCAGAATCCATCCCAGCAGAGCCTGCCTGGGAAACCAACCTCTCAGAATCTAGAAATAAAAACTAAACTTCTCTTTTATGAAGAAATATGTTTGCATTTATTTGACAAACAGAGTCACACGGTGTAAAGATGAAATATGTGAAAAATCTGGATGAAGCCGTCTTTCCTAAAATCCCTCAGGAATGTTTTTACTTTAGTGTGAACATGATTTTAGAATAAAGCTCCTAAAATATGTAGATCTATGTACTTTATTTCTACATTGCTGAAGTCTCATGCTGCCTTTGAAACTCGTCCTGAAATCACATGAGAGTTTAGGACCAAGCTGCAGTTTCAACTTATGAGTGAAATTCATGTCTTTGTAAACTTTTTTTTCTTGGGGGG